ATTTCTTTACAGTTTTACTTCTTTAGATTCATTATATAAAATTACAATAATTAAATTTTAAATATATTTTTATATCCAATAAATAATCTATATTATTTTTAATATTAATTTAAACAAATATTATAATTAAAAAAGGAATAATCCGCGCATCGCGCGGGTACTAAACTAGTATGATTAAAGATTAAGTATTTTAGGGGATTTCATACGACTCCAATTCAGTCTTTGGGTCTCACCAAACGTTATGATGGGCTTGATCCATCTATATTTGGGCCTACATAATGGGCTCTCCAAAGCCCAAAAACAAACACAGGTCCAATCTCCCAACGCATAAAACTACCATGAACATATATAACCATCTCTTCCACTTTGATTCTAGTCTCAAAGTTCTTCATATGAAATCCAAAAAGAAAAAAAAAACATGGGCCAAACTCGGATGAATCGAAATAAAAATAGGAGCCTCCAGACAAATAGGTTCAAGGACATTGTAGTGAACACAATTTCAGGTTCCTCACTTGCATGGTTTTAGGGTTATCCCTCAATAGGCCGAGGTATACTTTGTATATATATATATATATGATCCCATACCGATGTTAGGGGCGAAAACTAAAGTAGAAAGTGTCTAGATATTGTCCAAAACGCCGGGATTTCGATTTATAAGAGCCACCTATTTATTCGACAGGTTATTTTCTACGATTGATGAGAGATCGTAACGAGTAGAGGCTGCAAGTAACATATTCATAGTCTAGTCTGTTGTTTAGAGAAACCAAATGATATTTTGATCACCTTTGGATAAGAAAAGATAACATTTTCAAGCGATTGGATATTTCTATTGATGTCGCAACGCAAACCAATTCTTTCGGACAACTAACTACACATCATAATACTATTTTTAGTTGAACATGTTCCATGTGAAACGATTTTGTGTTTTTTTTCCACCCTTTTCTAATATATTCTCCGAGTCGTTTTTTACGATCGATCGATCTTTGTCTGGACAACACGTCGGTTTCGATGAAAAATTACGATCGGTCGACAAAAACTGCCAAATTTTCGAACGTTTTCTAACATTTTTAATGTATTTAGATACAGTAGAGGCTTCATAACACAGAAGAGAACGATTACAATAAGAGAGAACAAGATCTAAGTGATTTAGTGAGAGATTTTGAGTGTGTTCTTCCATATAGTTTTTTGCACGAATTTTTTTGTTTTCTTAAAAACAAATTTCTATTTGATAATTAACAGAAGTGTAAATTGAAATCATTGATACTTCATTATATCTAAAAAGTATATTCCTATAATACCATTTACCCAATAGGGATAAAATAATGCTTTTAAAAAATTGATTACACTCATTGAAGTTAATTATATCCAAATTCTCTACTATTTCATACGTCTTTACGAGGTTGACGATGAGATTATCATATCGGATCGAAGATGTCATCTTACAGGATATGTATGTGTTTCATTTATCCACCGTTTTACTTGTTCACTAACAATCTAAAAGCGTTAGGTGTGTACGGTGATATCGGTAGTTCTTGTTTTACATCACATTTGTTTGTATATGTATAATTTATATATTAGGGTTTTTTTTCCGGGAAAGAACTTGTTTAGACGGTGAAGTGAGTGTTACAAGTCTCAATCAAAGTTATCGAAAGAGGAACATGATGCTCTTTTATATGCTTTATTTCGATTTTTTTTTCAGGAATAATAGCATGTTGTTGGTTCTCGTCATTTTGAGACAAGGAACTTATCCCTTTTCAACTTAATTCTTACGACTAAACATTTTCTTGTCTTTTGCTCCCTAAACATATACACATATACATATACATATACATATATATATATATATATGAATAACATTATCAACGACTTGAATATATGTCCAAAAGATTCCTAATCTTTTCCCTCGAATTCTTGATATTTTGCCCTAGTGCGATATACGGTTCATATCCTTTCCAAGTAGAGGCTGGGAAACAGATTAAGATCGCCAATTATCAAACAACAACAAAGAACCAAAAACGAAAGTACTTAACGACAATTATTGTTCGATCATATATATGCTCGAATGGTCGGTCTAATTCGCGAAAAGTATGCTAGATAATCTTAATTTTCTTTAGTTATTTGCATTATTGGTGGCATTTTTGAGCGATCGATCACGTAAAATCGAGATCGTTTAAAATGAAGAAGAAATTACGATAATTAAAAACACAAATTAATCATGGGAGGGATTGATTGAAATATATAGAAGAAGCTGGGGACCAAACATTCTTGAGGAGGATGATTGGTACAAAAGTCCAAAGTGAAAGACATGACCATTGAGACATGAAATTGACGTTTCAGATTCTACTTGTCAGAACCCACCCCTCACTCAATTCATTTCCACTGCACCAACCCCACATTCCACCCTTTCCATTATGTTTCTTCTTTATATAGTAAAGTATTTAATTAAGAAAGATTTATAACCAAACTAAATTCAACATAAAAAGCGAATGGTTTATAACCAAACTAAAATCAATATAAAAATCGAACGGATATAGTTTTTCTAAGACCGAAATAACTGAATGCGAACTAAACTCGAACGAATGGTTAGGAACGAACAAGAAACGCGATATTGGCAAGGAAAGATATAAGATGATGCAATCGAGCAATTAACATGATATCATATGGTTTCATGCTTTTTTTTTTTAGTTTTGTACCAAAGGTTTTTTTAATTTTAACAAACTCGCCGATACATTTATATATCGAATACCCTTTTATGGTTCGAATCGTTAATTTCCGTAATGGAACTTCTCATCAATTTATTCCTTTCGTTTAATTTCACACGATGTTTTTTTTGTTTCAAAACAAATGATGTTTTTTAGATTTTCCATGTATTTTTTTTATATTTTTTCAAATTTACCATTTATCAGCAATAGTCAAATATTATGTATGTTTCAAAATTCAAGATAATAATTATCTACATATTAAATATTTTTGACAAAATATTTTTTTCCTAATATATGTGTTTAAAATATGTGCAAGAACAGATGATTTAGCCACATGTTTGAAGCTAAAATCGAAACACTAATCTCCATATCAAGAAACCCTAATCCCTTGAAACACATGCTTAAGGTCCCTCTCCCCCACGAATTTCCTTTCTTTCTAACTGAGCTTTTAATTCAATTTTTATTATTCAATAATGTATTTTGAGAACTTGAAAAGACGTCTTAAAGAACCCACCGTCGATAAAGACGATTTTTTTCTCTCCAAGTATTATAAAGAAACCAATTGCTAGAGACATGAATGTACATTGTAGTGTAGTATAAGCATATCATATCATATTATTTGGTCAACATTTGAATGATGAAATGACAACATGGGTTTTTGTCACACTCCCAAAGTGCTTTTTTGCAAGGGTTCTTTTAATAGAAATATGTATATAATAAGAAGAAGGAAAAAAAATCTCATAAAAATATGCAATCTCTACAAAATGTCAAAAAAGTATCAATACCAAATACTAAAATATATAAAAAAAAATACATCAACTCTTGTATTCGAAAACAATTTCATATATGATCCTTAATTATATAGTTGATGATTCTATCTAAATTATTTGAAGTTGTTTTGTACAAAGATTTTAACGGACTTTAACAGCATCTTAACGATATCATCGGTTCATAGTAAATTGTTTTCGATTTCAAGAGTTGAGATATTTTGTGGTATATTTCGAGGTTTGATGTATTTATTTATCGAATTAGAATCTTGTGTATTTTTATGAGATTTTCCCTATAAAAGCAGCAAAAAATATGGTGGTCCTTATAATAGAAGTGCTTTTTTTTTCCCAAGAGGCAGAGACTATGGTTTATGAGTTGTACTCCCTATATTATGCTGCTTCATTGGATACACAAGGGACTTTTATTTTAAAGATTTTATCTGAAAAGGAATAATTTTGCATAAAATCATTTTGCAAATTCTGCTAAGCTTTTATCGTATGACAAGTCAGAGCACGAGGGGAAGAAACTAGAAAATCCACCCACGAGAAAGTGCACACAGATTCCCGGAAGTCCGATCATAAACAGGATTATTTCCTAAATATAACGCCGATACATTTTTTTTTTTTTTTTTTTTTGATAACCAGGATGGTTCCTCGGGTCTTCGACCCGACTACATCCACCCTAGGCCCGGGACCAGCCTTTGTATATGGACCATTTTAATCCAGAAATTACATCCCTCCCCACCAGTGGAATCGAACCCAGGACCTTGAAGATGAAACGCCGATACATTTGATTATCAATATATATATATATACACACACATCAATACACCGTTTATGTTTATCATATACGTCACTTAGTAGGGTTTTGTCGTCTCTCTACGTTGTTATTAGGGTCACGCACAGCCAATTTTAAAAATCAATAATGCTGCTAAGAGTTTAAACTCGAATATATATATATATATATATATATATATATATATATATATTTTATAAACAAAATGATGTTGGTACAACATATAATATAATATAATATATTACTATTTTCAATAATAAATTTGGGTACTATATATTTTGTAGCTTTGTGCGGTCACTTCACTCTGCACACCTCAAAAGGCACCTATAAATGTCAAGAAAATATATTATTATTATTATTATTATTATTATTATTATTATTATTATTATTATTATTATTATTATTATTATTATTATTATTATTATTATTATTATTATTATTATTATTATTATTATTATTATTATTATTATTATTATTATTATTATTATTATTATTATTATTATTATTATTATTATTATTATTATTATTATTATTATTATTATTATTATTATTATTATTATTATTATTATTATTATTATTATTATTATTATTATTATTATTATTATTATTATTATTATTATTATTATTATAGTCCATCGGTATCTAACTCTATATACTGATAGATTCGCCTATTATTTTCATAACAATGATGAAACAAAAATGAAATGGTACGCCATGTGACAGAAAACATACGAATGATACATAAATAAGTATGAAATTTATTTACGGTTACAGATATGTATGAGAGTTTTGAAGATAGATCTCTTCGAGAATATTACATCAAGGAAATGTTTTAGGAAACTTATGCAGAATCAAACTGATCAAAGTGGCAAAACAGTAAATTAAGACATTCTCTCAGTTCTTGTTCCATGGTACTTCAGCTTATCCACCAACTCTTCATCATCTTTGCCCCCCCAAATCACAATCGAACCAAAAAAAATAAAATAAAATCGGAATCGCAAAAAAAGTTAGAGATGTGTATAGGGTTGTATTAGACGGGAAAGAACCGAAATTTTGATTTTTTTTAGCAAAATAAAAATTTCATTATAAGATTTGTGTAATTATTAGAGTTGTAACACTTACATTGGTTAATTAAGCTAGCTTAGCATGCTTGTTGTTCTCCAGCATCAGACCAAAGTGGATATGAGGGAAGTGCGCCCACTACATAAAAAAAAATATGTATTAGCATAATGTATTATATCATTAGATTTCATTTGAATTCATGTTTCTTATTATAAGAACCGTTGCCATTACATTATATTACAATATGTTTGAAGATATAGTGTTTATATATATATATATATATATATATATTTCATAACTCAAAGTTGGATAGATAAATATATATCATTTCATCTAATTCAGACTAATCGTATAGTGTTCCCTTTCACCATAATTTTTAATTCGTTTTCTATTCGTATCATTTTGATATTTGGACTGATTATATAACCAGCAAATTTAGAAAATAAAAGATTATCATGTGAAACTTACGTTCTTGGCAGCGGTGCTAAATGCTTCCCTGTGGCTTATGTCTGGATTATTCGCCTTAATCCTCTGAATCTCCTCTCTATATTTGAAGAAACGCGTTAATTAATCCACGTAAATACATACAAATATTTCACTAAAAGAAATTATAACAATATATAATACACACACACACACACATATATATATATATATATATATAATATAATCAAAGAAGATATTTGATTACTTTATGAACTGATTGTATGCCGAAGGTACTCGCTGCCGCTTCTCGGGAGCTGAAACAATTAAAATCACTCTTAAATGCCTGCATGATTTTTCTTGGTTTTGCACCATTTTTCTTACAAAACATTCATAGAAACCACAAGAATTTTGAACATATTGAAAAAAATACGAGGAATTATGGAGAATTATATATTATGGAATTATATTCCTAATACGATTAACGTTGGTACCGTATGTTTGACACTAATCATATTAGGAATATAATTCCATAACATATAATTCTCCATAACTCTTCATATATATTTCACAATAGAACAAATCACCTAACGATGTTTATAATAAGTCAATAGCCTAAAAAGAATTGAATGAAATACTTACGACGGTTTACGATTCTTTGTTCGCCCACGTTGCGAGTAGAAACCCTAGAGGAGGGGACTTTGTTGTGGCATCTCGATGATGATCCGTACTCATTCCTATACTCTGGTATCCCATAATTCGGCGCCTGATACATAAAAATCGTTTTTCTTTTAATTAAATCGGTTCATAGTCCAAAGATGCCAAATTAAGATTCATGTTTTTCCATCTCTATATATATATAATCTATTTGTAGGGTTTTAATCGGTTAAGACTTTTTATCTTTGGGGTAAATGATGGATTAATGAACTCAGACATTATGAAATATCCCAATTAGTTTGGGAAATGTAGAAGAAGGAGATTTAACAGAGAAAAATGTAGAGATAATAAGAAAGCAAAAAAAAAAATTCAAAACACAGAAGAAAAAAAAGGCTCCTCAGTAGAGGACAAGAACATAGAACGAATCTTCAAAAAAAAAACTTTAAAAGGAAAGAACCTAAGAAACCCTAACACTCATGTCAATCAAATCAAAGAGGAAATAACCTATATCGAGTATATTATAATAATAATAAATAATAATAATAATAATAATAATAAATAAATAAATAAATAAATAAAGAGCTAGGGCTCTCTGGAAAAAGAAAAAAAAACAAAAAGGCTGCGAAGATCTATAAAAGAAAAGTCAAGCTATATGTGTTGCCAACCTGAGTCATATAATGCGCATCTATTGCAGAAAAAGAATTATAAAAATAAATGAAAACGAAAAAGAACTTTTTATATATATATTTTTTTTTACAGGAAACAATTTAAATCAACACATTAAATTTTGGGGCTATGAATGTAGATGGCGGCTTTGCAGCTAGGGTTTCGGTGATTTTTGGCAGAAACATGCATTGAAATGCTCAGATCTTTTGTCTATCATTTCCTCAAAAGCAGCAGTAAAAAGCCCTAGATTTCAGAGGGCTTTATAATTCATTGAAAAACACAACCCTAAATTTTAGGGAAATTATGAAAATATTCTATCTTTATATGCGTGTGAGGGGAAAATGCTTTGAATTGAAACCGTAAAACCCAGTGAATGTGTGTGAATTATTAGAAAAGAAAAAAAAAACCATAGATTTCATAGGGTTCTCATCATTTTAATTTCATTTTATCGAAAACCCTAAAATTTAGGGATATATATATATATATATAATGAATATAATACCTGGAAATTAGGGCGTGAAAGGGACTGAAGAGCAGCAGCCATATTGACGGACCACAGATTGGTGCAGTGCCCGCATCGGACGGTCACGATGTCGAACAGACTGCTGCATGGAACACTCACCTTCACAAAATTCGAACACCCCAGAGTTAATTTCAATTTTTTTGAAGTTTTAGTATCATATTTCGTTTAATTTCTTCATCGTAATTCACCAAAATGAGAGAATAAAACAAGGTAATTCGATCTGGAAAATGGATGAGGTTTGGTTCGGATGCTTCAATGATTAGGGAAACCTAGATCCGGGTTTTATATTCTTTGGTCGGAAGAAAAATAACATTTTCATGAATGAGAAGACCTATGGAAACTATTTCTCTAATGTCTACAAAGTATGAGATAGCACGGAATCCAAATATCTATTATTTTAATCTTCTGTTTTCGGATTTTAATTATTGTATATAACATTTTTTTTTCTTCTAGTCTATTTAATAAAAGAAATAAAAAAAGAAAATCAAATATCTTATGAGAATACGGATCGGATTTTAATTTGGAGGGCACAAAGATACTAGAGAAAAAAAAAAAGAGATTCTAGGTGTAGGTAAAGAAACTAAATGATGATCCTTGTCAAGAAGAAGAAGAAGAAGAAATTGAATCACAAATCTAGATATCCTATGGTGTCTTAACATTAACACTTAGGTTTCAAAGTGTTCATATTAAATGGGAAATTTTAATTCTCATTCGAACAAGTATAAATATAGGCATATGTATGTGTATGTATATGTATATATATATATATATATATGTATATAAGTGAGTGAGCATGGCTTGATTGTCTTAGGGATTCTTGCTCTGGCGACTTTGGTCTGAAACAGTACGTGAAAGGCTTCAACGTGTATGACTTTTCTTTGACAGAACAAGGAAAAATGAAGAAGAATGATTTACGATTTGAAGAAAATAATATAAAATAACTAGAATTTAAAAAAAAAATCGTAGCAGAAACGATCGAGACCTGTCCGTAGCACCAGAAAACAAAAGAAAAATAAAACAACCCAATTATTATTATTATTTTCTGGAGAAAAAAAAAGATAAATAAACGAGTTAAATGAAAGAAGAAGAAGAAGAAAAAAAACTTTGAATGCTTGTAAGATAGTGGAAACTGATAAAAAAAAGAAGAACCAATTATAACACCAAAAACAAGAAAAGCAGATCTATATATCTCTTCAAAGATTAAACCACACACACACACATATGTATATGCATATATACATGTGTGTGTGTGTGTATATATACCGCAAGGACGATGTTGCAGAAGTTGCAAGGGATGTAGCAAAGTTGCTCGGAGGCGGTGGCAGTGGCGGCGTCGAGACATCCGGCCATTGTCTTCGCAGTTTTTTGGGCTCAAATATTGGAGAATTTCCTCGGAGGAGATCAAACAAAAGAGCTATGATATCTTGATAAGCTTGTGCTTTGATGATGAGAGCTATATATATATATGTGTGTGTGTGTGTGTGTAAGGAAAGAGAAATAGAGAACAAAAATTATAGATGAAGAGAGAGAGAGAGAGAGAGAGAGAGAGAGAGAGAGAGAGAGAGATGAAAAGCTGTTGAATTATTCTATCTCTATCTATGGAGAGAACATATACTTGCTTTAAAACCGGGGTATTGTACTACAATGGTGAAACCAAAAGAACATTAAAAAAAAAAAGATAATAAATTGTAAGGAGAGGGTGAAAATGTTGAAGGGTAAAATTAAGGGAGAATGCCCTAAAAACATGAATTTTGAAGAACTTCCATATAAATACATTAATTTTAAAACTTCTAACAAAATACATAGACTTTTCAAATATTACCATAAATTCACATCCGTTCCATCACAATTAATCAATTAACGGATTTGGTTATGTGGTATTGACCAACCCCTATTTTTATAAAAAAATATATATAAATATATATTTAAAGAATAAAAAACTTAAAAAATATAAAATACATACACATTTATGAAGGGCAAAATTATATATATATATATATATATATAATGTGATTGATAGGGGAATTTTGAGTTCTCTGTCTTTTACTCGTAGGGCCGGGTTCCATTGATGGGGTTTCATAATAATTTCTCCACCCATCAATTGTTTACCTCCTTTAAAGTTTGAGGTGAAACGGTAAAACCAATGGATAAATATTTTCTATTTGGGGAATAAAAGACTGTGATCTAATATATAGCTGCTTCCAAAGTATAAAGTAGCTTTCAAAATATAATACAACATGTAGTTTCAATTCGTATTGAGTTTAGATATTAGCTTCTTTCTTATTTCGTTTGAGTTTATCAATTCCTTATCATATTAGGATAAGAGTTATAAATTCTAATGAGATGAAATTATATTAAATTATATTATATATTTAAATTTATTCGATTATCAATAACACACAATAGATATTTCTGCAAATCTTGATAACAGGGTTCGGTTGCATTCTCTTGGTTTGAAGTTTTATTAGATTTCACAAAGAGATGATGATTGAATACGAGGGTGACAATATTTATCACAATCCACGCCACCGACTATAATATTTCAACAAGCGATTTTTTTAATAGTTGCATGTTTCCATCGCCTATGTTTGTTTTTTTATTTTTTTGAAATCATATGTTCTTTATCAAACAATTGAGAATATAGTCGACCTCAATGATTGTTTATAATCGTTTTGGATATTTTTTATTTTTATTTTTCAAGTCTTTTGAAATACGAGGTGTTCACGTGATGCAGAATATATTCATTAGATAAACATTGAAGTCGGAATTTGAAGATCATCAAATCTCATACGTGTTACATGTATGAGATTGCAGAAAAATGTTAGAAATTATGAAAAGTTTCAGTTCATACAGAGTTTAAATATTAGGATGTTTATTATTTTGTCCGGTTCATTTATTTCTTGTCATATTAGTATAGGTATTATGAATTAGATTGAAGAGAAAATTATATTATATATTTAAACTCATTCAATTATCAATACTGCACCACATGTTTTCACAAATCGTGTCATTAATATTTTTATTACAGATACACGACATATTAATGAAAAAATAAAGCATAGAATAATCAAAGAGAGATCATAAACAAACTAGAAGAACACGATATTAATATATATATAAAACTCAGACACAAGAAAATTCGGAGAGGAAAGATATTTCACTGTAAATAAAAAAAAGGGAAAAAAAATTGTGTATGGCGTTAAGTATTTCACTAAATAATTCAAACAAGTTTGAATGTAAAATTTTATTTACTTAACGAAAAAAAAGTTTGGATATGGTCATGGGGAAGAGAACTAAACATATACTTTTCATTTTTTGGCAAAAAGAAAAGAAAAAGGGGGGGAAGAGTAGTGTGCCTAAGAAAGGGTGCAAAAGCTGGGACCATCAGAAGAAAAGAGAAAGTGGGCATTGTTTGATTTGCTTTCATAGTCCAAAAAAAAAAAACAAATGTAATTATGAAATTTCCGGTTTGGTTAGGGGTCAACCAAACGGTTTAGTTACCTCTCTCTTCTAGTTTGGTCAGCTTATTAGAGGTTAGGGTTTGAGAGAGAGAGAGAGAGAGAGAGAGAGAGAGAGAGAGAGAGAGGTAACTCGATTGATGCTAAACTTAAATATTGGTTCATATATATATATATATATATATGTATTGTGTGTGTGTGTGAAATGTTTACTATAGGTTCACACACACGCACGCATATATATATATATATATATATATATATATATGACAACTTTTATTTTGTATTTTATATAATATTAGGTGTATAATTGAGGAGGAGTTTGATTCCATGGGTTTCAGGAGTTAAGTGATAAGGGTGAGTCAGAGGAGGAAGTTCCATAGATCATGTGATGTCTCTTGTAGGTGTTGTCAATGAAATCGATGTGTCTTCACATTTTCATGATTTTCCTTTCTAACCCCACTCTCCTCGCCACCGGACTATGGGGGCGATTTTCTATTTTCTTTTTCAATATTTACATTTTTGTTAAAAGGATAAATTAGCCGATGGGAGTTATAAATGCTAATGGTTCTCTCGCGCGTTATGCATATTTTGAATCCTTTAACGAATCCACCAACGATTCTTGTTGTGATATCCCGAGTTATAATGACGGTTGGGAGTGTTCGTCAGTGCAGATGTCATGTTTAAGGAACGGCTCCTCAAATACCACTAAGGCCAAAAAGATATATAAATAAATCGAATGCATCGAAATAAGAGAGATTCGAGGACTGTACATATATGATACTATGCAGTGTAAGGTAATATAAAAGAATTAGTTGGACTACTCATAGCAACAAGGTGCACATACTTTTTCGATGACTATCGCGAAAGAACTCCAAAATTAAACGTGTTGATTCTGGAATAATTTTAGGATGAATAACTTATTGGAAAGTGTATGGGTATAGATGCAAGTGAGGACAAAATACGCTAAAAGGTCTCGTATTGGTGTGTGATAGAGTGTGAGGGACGTTTCGACATTTCATAGGTACGTTACACTTGTTATATGTGTTTATGGTTCGAATCTTATTCCATGTGATTTGTATAGGTTAAAAATTAATCATCCCATTGAAATGAAAAAAAATGATTATGATGGTTATTCATTGTTGTTCATTAGACATCATATAAATATATGTATAAAAAAGTTTTGTCTGAGGAAGTCTTTGCCTCGTTTTAATTTGTTTGCTACATTTTAGGTTTTATCGTGTTATGACGATTACACTTTTTTGTAATGAAATATGATGATGACATATTAGTTCACGTCAAATTAGGATTTTATATATTTTTCGGGATAATATTATAAAATTTCAATATTAGTCAATTCAGAACTTCAATTAACATTTTATATCGAGTGACTATTATTGATATTTTATAAATCATATTTTGTTATTATTTCTTATTTGTTATAAAAGATTGTGTGTCTAGTTACATCAATATATATGATCATTTTTTTACACACAGAGATAATGAAACTTCAAAAACATGTTATCCAAAAAAATATAATTCTAAAATATCATTAATTTTGTTTGTATGCTAAATAAAGAAATGAAGTCGGATTGGATAGGATGTAATGAAATGTTGACATGAAAGCTATGGTTCATATATGTGGGTTACATTTCTAATTAATGATGAGGAATTAAAGTTCATTAAAGACAAGATTAATTAAAAGGATACATTTTTTTAAAAAAAATTCAAATAATTCTATTGGTTTTCTTTCTAATTTTAGCAGTAGGTGGTCAAAGATTCCAACGGGCTAGTTCATATGATTGTTTCAAATCTAAGAATTAGTCTACTTAAAATTTTGGATTTCATATTTATTTTTCTCGCTCCAATTTATTTTCTGATTTGTGTTTTTTTTGTTTGAAAAAAAACTATATAATTCAGCTTTTATATCGGATTCATTTTGTATATATTTTTGTTTAGATTCGGTTGAATTTGATTTCATTACAAGAATTCGTTTTATAAAGATATTTTTGTTTTGTTCGTTTTCAATTATTTTATATTAGTTTTTTATTTTAAAAAATATTATATTATTGTATCGGTATTTAAATAAATTTAGTTCTGATATGATCATATATAATATTATCATGTTCCATTCTATTTACTTTTACACGTGCCAATTGAAATGACCAATCTGGTTTCAAAATAAAATAAATATTTACATGTATGCATGCCATGAGAAATTTTGTCGCCAATCATCAGTATATAATTTTTTTATAAAACAAACCAAAAAAAGAAAAAGAGTTCCCAATCGAATAGTATAATCTATATATATATATATATATATATATATGTGTGTGTGTGTGTGTGTGTGTGTGTAGACGATTACTAGATTTTGCGATTGTCGATTTGTTAATGGATATACATACGATTGCTTGTCTATCTAACATTATTCATGTATGCATGTGTGTATGAGATTCATTGAATCAATTAGTAATTCAATAATCGAATCGAATTTGATATAAAAAATAAACAGTCATTCGAATTGAACCTATTTAATAAAAAATAAACGAAAAAATGAGTATGTTTATCAATAAAAAACAAAACGGAACTAAATTTGAATATAAACGAAAGTAATATAAAATCGAATGATTATAATTTTAGTAAAATCGAAATAATTGAACGGAATACATATAATTAAAATCCGAAATTACCAAACCTATTTGTTGCAAGTATATTCAATAATGGGAAGCTGCATCATCGCCAATTAATTAAGCAGTGTCAAAGTTATAATCTTAACTACTTTAAAAAAAATTAAAGTATACTTATCTACTTAATCACATTTTAATCTTCTCACTAATTAATTAATCATCCTCGTCATCATCATTAGAATTGGTGCAATCGGAAAATATATACACACATATATATATATATATATATATATATATATATATATATATTTCTTGTTTATTTTCATGGGTTGATATCTACTTCCGCATATTCCGTTGTCATACACAACAAACAACAGACATGCTACATCATGAAACGATGGCCACAAGATCTTATATAGAGGAAAATGAACTTTATATCTATTGCATATTTCGAAAATACGGACCCTTTATTTATTTATTTATTTTTTACCTCTTCAATCATTTGAGAATTTTACTCGCAAAGATTTACCTTTTCTTTCATCATAAAACCCAATAATTTTCTTTTTTAAACAAAAAATCATTTGGGTATATACATCAATTTTTTTGTGATATCCCGAATTACGACTAGGGTTGAGATTATACGGTCTAAGATAATATAAAAAATATTAGTTGGGCTACTCATAGAAACAAGTTAGTATATCCATCTTTTCGGTTGACTATCACGAGAGAATTCCAAAGTTAAACGTGGTGATTTTGGAGCAATCTCATGATGGGTGACCTATTGGAAAGTATCTCGTATGCGTGTGAATGAGGACAAAATATGTTGGAAGATCTCGTGTTGCTGTGTGAGAGCAGTTTCGACATTTCGTAGTAGTCGCGGATCGTTATATTTTTTATTGTCAAAATGACGTGGACAGGGTATTATGTTGCCGACGACAGCTCAAATTTTATGTTCTTCAGATGCCCGACTTATCAGCGGAATGTTGACTAACCGGCTTTGTCCCTTTACCTGGTCCAATTGACTCAATCTTTCCAGCCAGGCCGAATTCAAGTGAATAACTTATTAAGGGTGTAACTGATGGTGGTAATACGATCGTCCACAAACACTTGCGACTTCTAACGATTGCGGACGATGGATAGAACGATTGTTCGTCCGCAATTGCACCTAAGTTGTAGTTCCTTTCTACTGGGTTATTTGTTCTCTATTTTTTTTTCATATTTGGTGAGTTCATGAGTCTTTCGACCCAACCACATCTCTTTTCGGATTCTAATCGCCCTTTGTTTTCTTCTTCTAGTTTGTACTTGTTCAAGCAAAGAAAAAAAGTTTTAATAATATGATAAAAAAAAATCATTAATACCACTCTAACTACAGATTTTAGAACAGAACATGAAGTATATCTCTTAAACATGATCGGTCGACAACAAAGCTAAAGATGAAAACAACTTGTGATAGAAATGTGTTCGTACACATTATTTTATAAAACATTTCATTCAATTGGTGCATTAATTTGGCATGGTTTTCGGGAGAGTCGGTCCAAAAACCCACATGGAAAAGAAAACCAAAACAGATTCACGTGTTCGAATTAGAAAATTGATCTTCCTCTTAAACCCCAATTCAACATGAAATCATTTGGTCTTTGTCACCTTAAAGTTAGGCTATGTCGGGTGAATATTATGAAATCAAAACTATGAATATGGAATTTTGATTTGACTAATCATAGTTACCCTACTATAAGTGTGATAACAAAAAAAAAATAAAAAGGACAGCGGTCCAAATAAGGAAATTTAAATAAGCACATAGTGCCCACCAAATTCTTGCTTAAAAAAAATACTGCACTACCCTTTTCATGATTAATGATTTTATTCCACTAATCACTAATCATATAAACCCTAATAAAATATTTCAAGGTTTTCTCATATATCACCACGACATTATCAAACGTTATCCAGAATTTTACACGGGCCAAAATAACTAGTAGATTAACATTATTTTTAGACCAAAAATTGTTTCACATGGTGACGAATTGAATTTACAAAGTGTACGGAATTAAAATTTTTTTATAGGATTTAATTTATAGAGGAGATATATAAAAGACTGTTCAGGGAAAAGACTCGCAATCAGCAACAATAAATAGTAAGAAAATAACATATAAGTAAAGAGGAAGTGAAAGAGACGCATGATAATTTTCTCGTAGGGTTTTTTTTGTCGGCATGGGAATGCAAATAATTTCTTTAAAATTTAAAAAATTTTAAAAAATAAATTTGATATAAAATAGGGAGGGAAAATTAGTGCTCTCGCGTTCACAATTTTAACGTATTTGCAGAAAAAGTGTTCAAATAATTGCCGACTGACCAAATAAATACTCGGAAAACCAAACCGGGACTCACCCTTTTAAAGCAGAAGCGTGACCATTTCGGTTTTATACCGAACCAATCCAAACCGAACAATATATAAAATTATCGATCGAATCCAATGTAAAAATCAAATGGGTATGGAAAAACAAATCTGAAACCAAATAAAAAAATAACAAGAAAACCCAAAAATAATTTTGAAAACGAACATTTTATCAATAACAACCGAATTCAGATAAAACTGAACCGAATCAAATATAAAAAATATATAATTTTTTATAGAACAAGAAAATCTCTACCATATATATATATATATATTTGCACTGCACCAAACAGGCTTTACCCAATTCATTAACCACGTGCTGAGCATTGCCTCACCTAAAGCCATGGCCACTTTAATATACACAATCTAAAGAAGAAGATCCATACCTAAAACACTAAACACCATTCAAGCCTTATCATCTTCTACCTGCATTCGGTAGTCTCGCATTTCGGGCAACACACTGTGCCGTAATTGCACCGAATCTGCCACCGTACCTACCTACACACACACACGTATGTATATATGTATATGCATGTATGTATAAAAACGTATTTGCACATCAACTCTTTTGTATATCTAAAGCTAATACTAAAAACTTTAAATTGATCCAGGGCCCTTGAAGTGCATACATATTACCAAGCAAATCTAACGAAAGAATAATTCGTAAAGGAAGCTAGACCGATCAAATGTTTAGTAACGATTCATCTTTGGAGGGGTTTCTTTTTCGCCATTTTTTTGAAAGTAGAGAGACGAAAGCTTGTAAATCGGAAATGATCATTGCATTAACGAAACAGATCATTGAGATACTAGGGACCTTACTAACTCTCTTCCATTGCATCAGTTGATTGTGATGCCAAGTGAACCGGGTTTGACGCATGCCGATTGGTTCAATCTGTACAGAAGAGAAAACCAAACCAAAGGTACTTGTGGTTAAAGTCACAAGTAACCGTCACATGCTGTTAATAAGGAAGACTTGGCCCCAACGTTAGGAACTACTTTCCTCCCCTCATTGTCTTCCCATGTTTGTAGAATCAACCTTCGTATCGGTTACTTCCTGTATCTATACAAGAAAAACCAAGAAAATTAATAAAGCAGAGAGTATTTTTTCTGCAATTTGCATTGTTCTTCCCTTAAGCTTTGATCGGGACTTTATTTGGGTCGAGATGCCAAACTGGGAAAAATCTATGTCTTGTCTGAAGTACCTACAAAAAAAATTTCAAACTTACATATGTGAATGAATCTACTTGTTGCCAGAAAGGAGGGCACTGCAATAATAACACCAGTATATCCTCCGGTTTACGATGACCCTGCAAGGCCGCAACTCAATCGAACGCGCCGGTCTCTCAAACAACATAACATACAACAGAGAAAATATGAACCCTATTGATAAAAAAAAGAGTGCGAGAAAAAAAGTTCACAAACAACAGTTTAGCATTAAGTTGAAGACAAGAGGGATGTGTGAACTTTATTTAAGCTCATCATAAACAGACACAGTGATCATTGGTCACGATTACCACGTCGAATTGGAAGCAGAATCAACAAATCCTATACAGATAAATCATACCGACTTCATACATCCCACACACTGTATGTTAATCTCCTCCTTAAAAGAGCAAGAACTCAATTTATATAATGCACATGAAAAGAATCATAACCTGTATGTGAAAGGAATCTAACCCTCGTCATAACAGATACAGTGATAATTCATCGCGATTACTACGACGACTTGGAGGTGAAATCAACAAATCCTATACAAAATCATATCGACTTCATTCATACATCAAACATTCTCTGTCTATCTCCTCCTCCATTTCAATTCCTAATGTATTTGAAGACAGATTACACAAAGGGCTGCAAGTACACTGTACAATTCATTCCCATAGAATATCAGATGCGGAACTTAAAAGACTAGTGGATATACCTCAGGTACGTACGACGATAATCGTTCTTCTATGGGTAACGTTTCAAGCAATGGCATAATTAACTCTATCTTCCGACACCAAGCCTTCAAACGGTTGAAAAACGGAAAGAAGATAGGTCAATGACGAGGAAATAACGTATATGATATGAACACAGGACATAGTTGGCACATAGAACTCTGTATCAAATACAAATAGCTACAAAGGCCATTTCCGAGTTAATCAGAGCAAAAGTGATCACACATTCACTCAGAGGAACCATCAAAACCCATTTCAAGATATACTCGAAATCAGCGAAAATCGCAATCGCAGAAGCATGATCAGAAACAGAAAAATCGCAAATGAAACTGTTCGACAAACAGGAAACAGCAGAAACTTCACAACGAGTTCAAGCAATACAATCAGCCAGATTGGCTAAAAGCTTGAACCAAGCACTTCCATGGGGATTTGAGCGAAACGAACTTTACAAAACCCTAGACACACGAATCACGCCACTACAAAAAAAAAAAAAAAGAATTCACGAACTCACAAATTTCGAAGACTCAACAGTTCCTCAACACAAGAAACTCCGCAGCTAAATCGATTGCCGGAGAGAGACGACGCTTCCCCTTCCTAATTCCCTCTCTGTTTTCCCCTGTACAGTCCATCTGATCATTTCGGTTTTCCCTTTGGGTTCGATTCCTTTATATTCGAGTTAAGTTATTTCGATTATAAAAAAATTATAATCATTCCGTGTTATATAAATTTCGATTCATTCGAATTCGGTTTTTTATAAAAAAAATTATTTTTTCAAAAAATTATCGTTTTTTCAGTTATTTTTTTAATTAGTTCGGTTTTGATATTTTTAGGTTTAAATAAATTATTCTCGTTAAGTTTTTATATCGAATTCATCTCTACAATGGATTCGCTTCGAATATTCAGATAATAACCAAAATAACCAAAATGGATAATCTAATCATCTTAATATTAATTTACCAAATTACCCTTTTGTTCCGTTTTAAAATGTTTATATTCCCGAACCAATGCAAGGGCTTAACCGTAAACTAGAACGCCCAAAACCGGTTAACTTTGGACGCCATTGCTTACCAAAGCAATTGATTTCTCTTTCTTAATAAAATCAACACTGTAAAAATATGACACATGTATCTTTGATGTTAACCATTTGCTTGATGCAGAGCTAATGTAAAAAACGAAATGTACAAAGAATGGCAAAATCAGAGATATGCTAAGACATGGGAACAACAGCGGGATTCCGACATCGGATCGTCGGAAATTCTCTCCCGAGACGGCGTTTCAGAGACCTCGGAGCTGTTCGAGGAGTCCCGTCATCGCCGTCCATTTCTCGAACGCGTCGGCCGATGACACAAACGCTTGCTTGGAGGACTCTATGTCGTTCTTGTTCACTGCAGGGCAAAAAATCTCGACTTGTCATTCCGAGTTTTCTTCGGATACCCGAATTTTCAGTGTATCTTTCATTTCGTTTTTTGGTTCGGGTTAGGTTTTATTCGGATTCAGTTTTTCGTTTTTTAAAAATCTATATCCGTTCAGTTTTGGGTACCCGAACTTTGAGTACCCACTGTGCGATACAGATACTCGGCCGACGAAACCCAACCTCGAACCCACGACTCTGGTTTTCCAATGCCGTGCACCCGAATTTATCACTACCGAGTACCCAAATTTCGGATACCGCGTATCCCACAGATTCGGGTACGGTACTCACACACCCATCCCGATTGAGAGCTGGTTTGATTCAATGGTAATGTGATTCTTATGAATGATAACAAAACAATGCAAGAGATCCCACCTGAAGAGATCAAAGAGGCTAGCGATGAATTAAACGTTTCCACCTGCGTCTTCTCTTCCGGGCTCGAACTCAACTGTCACGAAAGAAACGAAAAAAAGAATCAGAAACCCGTCGAAAGAACAGCGAACGGAACTCTGATCGTTCAAAAGTACATTTTTGGTGTTCTGCAACGATTCTTGAAACGAGAACGACATATCGTTGATGATTCAAACTTCCCCGAGACGATGATTCATAACAAAATCCTTAACCCCGACACTAGAATTCAACCCGTAAACACTTCAAGAAAAGATGGTCGGAGCGAAAGAATTCAACGGAACTATGAGCAAGAGATGTAACCTTTGTGAAAGCCGTGTTCACCATTTTCACCCATTCGGTATCGGTGCTTCCCCCCAGAACAGAACCCGCAGCCGAGAGATCGTCGTTGTCGATGGCTTGACCGACTTTGCTCAACTTGTAAACCAGATCCTGCAAATATCCTGGAAAAAAAAACGTCATTTCCACATAAAGCCCGATCCATGTATGCGTTACAGAACGAGGAAAGCAAAGAACTTGAATACCGAATTCTGCTTAGAACGTTTTGCCAATTTACCAACAATGGCTACCAAACAAAAGGCACATTCAGACCTATATGCATGTATATACAGAATCACAAACAGTTTCCGAGTTCGGATCAATTAAAAACTGAATCAAAGGAACAGAATTTCTCCATGGTTGCATTCCAAAGCATGATGTAGAAGCAAACGCAGTCAATCTGGTTGGTTAGTAACCTGTTGAATCTTCAAGTTCGTGGTCTAAAGATTCAAAATTTGAGGAATTCAACACAATCCAACAAATGGGCAAATCCCAAAACATGTTTTGAAAAACGAAATAGTGTAAGAATTTTGAGAAGTTCTTCAAAATTTTGGAGGAATACCCTTTTCCTTGACTGAAGAATTGATAACTCCTTGCCTCTCGATCCTCTTCTTCCGATCTTTGACGAGGAAATAACGTATATGATATGAACACAGGACAAGATCGGAA